GCTGTTTCCCCCCCCCCCGCCGTACCCAAGATATTTGGGGGTACCCAAAATGGATGGTTTCTGCAGCAAAGTGCAGCCATCAGCACAGGTGGAGCCGGTGCTCCCGGGGACGGGGATGCACAGCGAAAGGTCTCTAGGAGCAATCGTGGCTCCGAAGCGAGACGCGCTCAGGAAAAGCCCAAAGCACTGAGCCTTAAATTTAAGGATGTGGGTTTTGGAAAGGGCTGGGTGCCCCCGGGAAGCCCCGCAGCACTCACACGTAGTGCCTGTCCCACTCGTGCCGGCGCCGCAGGTCAGAGAGCAGGGAGAAGGCTTGGCTGGGGGGGGTGGGGGTGACATCTCGATGCGGAAGGAGAGGAATTTGTCCTCCTCCAGCGTGTACATCCGCACCTCGGGGAGCACAGGGCACGGGCTGGCACGCGTTCAGCCACCACCGAGCCCCTGGCTTGCCCAGGTTTTGGGGGCAAGGAGCAGCTCGAGGGGAGGTTAGAAGGTTTAGTACCTTTTCCTTTTCTCTGGCGAGCGCCCAGTTCGCTTTGGCTACGAGCGTCTTCAGCGCAGAGACGTTGTTGTAGCTCAGATAAACCTGGGGCAGGGGCAGCACGTCAGGGGCAGGAAGGGGGGGCAGGAGGCAGCGACCTCCGCGGGGCAGCACCCTACCTTGTTGCTTTGGTCCCAGGGCACAGAGAGCGGCACCTCGGTCTGTTTGCAGGAGACGACGTATTTTCTGCGGGAAAGGAACAATTTCCCTTATGGTGGGACACAAACCACCCACAAACCGTCCCTGTACCCCAGTGCCGAGCTCCTCCTTCTCTTCCCTCCTCCATCCCTGCATCCCACTTGTTTTTTCTGCTCACCGGTCCAGCCGAATTTTTTTCCTAGCACTGGCTTCTCGGTACCTCCTCTCTCCTTCCTGATAAATGGGAAAAAGCACATTAGGTTAATAGGAAAAGGAGGAAAAAAAAAAAAAAACCCAAACCAAAAACCACCTGTCTTTCTGGGAATGGGCAAAATGGTCAGCAAGGAAGGGCTGGAAGATGAAGCCCTTGCGCTTGCCGGCTGCCGCCCCAGCTACGCTGGCAGTGGTGGTTAGTGATTAACCGTGAGCTATTTCGGCATCACCGCCATGCGCTGTGATCAAGCGACAGGCACCAGCACGTTAGGAAAAAAAACCCCTTGCTGCGGCCGCAGAGCAGCAAACAGCCACTGAAACACAAATTGCATCCTTTAGCACTGCAAATGTCCTCTCCTGGGGAAACAAAAACCCAAAAAACAGCTTATTTCAAAGAAAGCATAGTGCTTTAAAGCAGGTGAAGGGAGGTTTTGTGGTACCCAGCTCTGGCCGTGAGATGCTGCCCTGCAGGGTGGGAGAAGAGTCCTAGTTTTAAGGCATCAAAAAATCAAGTAGGTGGGCACGGATCGGCCAGGGGAAAGGCGACGCTGTCACTCCCTGACGCTACGATGTGCCCTGAGACGCTCAGGTGTTTGTTTCACTGCCGTGAAGCTCACGTGACAGGTTTTCTCAAATATTTGGATCCAAGCAAATTACGGATTAGGATGCTTTGAAAGGTAAAAACAGCCTAAGAGGTTTGCATTCTTTCCCCTAAATTGTAGAAAAGATGAGCTTGAATTTGCAGGCAACAGTCTGTTAAGCCTTGCACGGTTAATACCTGTCCATCTCTGCACAGGCAAGCGGTTTATTTTTTTATTAGTTGCACCGAGCAACCAATTTAATTCACTTGCTAACAAGCAATTGGATTCCCATCATCGTAAAACTGCCTTTGTTTTGCTGTGAATCCGAGAGCCTTTCAGGGCTAAGCGGGATTCCCGGGGGTCCCATGCCAGCCCTGCCCGTCCTTACCCCCGGCTCGGGTGCCACCATCGGCAGGCTGCGGGGCTGGCCGTCCTCATCCAGCACCACGAAGGTCATGAAGGCGCTGTTGATGTGCCTTCGGCTGACGGACATCTCCTGGCCATAGGCTTCGGCGCAGACCCCCACCTCCATGCTGGGGGGAGGGAGGGCAGAAGAAGGGGTGAGGGTGGGGAGAGCTGCCGGGAGGGTGGGATGGGGACCTCCCGCTGCTGGCACCCACCTGTTTTTGAAGGCGTTGTTGACAATGGCTTTGAGCACCAGGCGGTCCCCGACTTGCGATGGTCCCCGAAAGTGGAACATCTCGATGGCCCGCAGCGTGGGGTGGGCATGGCACAGCCGGCTGTGGGGGGCAGGTGTTATGACCCCAATGCCCTGGCAGCCCCATGTACCCTCCTCGACCCGGCCAGAGCCGAGGAAGTCCCCAAAAATGTCACCCCTGGATTTCAATCGCCAAAACCAGCCCTGAGAAGGGACAATAAGCAGACTGCGGGGAGTGTGAACCCTTCCCTGGGGGCCACCA